ATAGGGCAACAACAGCGTTGTAAATAACCGATTAATTCAAAAGCAATAACAACACAACTGGTAGCGGTGATAATTCCAACGGCAAGCAGGTACCGGACGATGGACGACGATTTTCAATTACGTCCCGTCCAGCGGCGCCTTGTGATTGGGTTTAATCACTTAGGCGTTCGTTTGTGAGCAACTGTTGGCAACGATATTTCACGGTAATCTACACGCGGCCAACAGAAAACGCTAATAAATATATCGAATGGAGAATAATGTGTACGGGAAAACACGGCGATTGTGTTGCGGCCAACGGACGTCGGGATGCTTTATGGACCGCGCGAGAGGATCACGGGCAGAGTTACGACGACGTTAACTGCATCACGGTCCTCTCAAATGACAAAATATTATTACGTTTTTTACGAGCGCCGTTGTGCCGCGTTATTAAATACCTGCGTCGTACGTTTTATTCCGTTGTTATTATTTTATATTCAACGGGGTTATGGTAATGCGAATATTACTTAAATGTCCATAACTCAGCCGGGCCAAAGCTTTTTTTTATTCTGAATTATATTACACACGAGTTTTACTCGTCGAACAAAACAAAACCGTAAGTTACCAAACCGACTGGCTGTCGGTTTTGTTACAGACGAAAATTATCGATACACAACTGGACGCTCGTGTAAGTCTATTAAATCTTTGCCGGACGTCCGACAAAATTTATTCGATCGATTCGTTAGGAGAAAAAAATGTGTGTGAGCTTGTACCGCAACCGCCGACATCATTTACAATATCGGTACATTTTACCGCGAGTGATGTAAAATAAGTAAAATGTGATTCTCACCAACCATCTGGCCAACGTTTTGTAACTAATGTGATGTTTTATGCATTTGATTAGGAAACGTTTCCATTCCGTCCGGTAAAGTAAGCGACCGCGTAGGAGAATCATATTTAGACATATTTTAAACGTCGCAATGTTTGAAATTTCACATTTTAATGGTAAACTACTTCCAAAATGAAACGTTTGTTGAAAACAATGGAATTTCAACTCGCTGGATTCCAAAGCATAATAATAAATTGAATTTGAGATCAATTCCGTCAGAAAATATATCCCATACAACAGTGCAGCGAACAATTTTTATATTTTTATCAACTATACTAGAGCTACGTTGTGGCGAAACAAAAAACAAATAACTTGTCACATTACACAAATATTTTAACAAAATACGCACAAGTGTTTTACATGGCTAATGTTGTAGAGCAGTGTTAGTATTTTTGCAACAAATATCAATATTTGGTACAAGGAACTTACGAGAACACTCTGGTGTTTTTAGGAGGTTACCTGAGACTAGTCGACGCCGTAAAGCTCTTGCGTTATTCGTTAGATTAGGCGTCCAATGCGCGATTGTGACCAAGCGAATCTATAGAGCCAGAACGACTACACTGCGTCGCATTAGCCACAACTGGCGTCTATGGTTCTATTGGAACCTTAAACAAGCATAAAATTTTCGAACCGCTGTACGGATTTTACGTTTGTATTTCCACCATGATGTGTATACCGGTACCTCACTGTTTTTACCTTGCTACTGTTTTTAAATTACGTTTCCGTTATGAATTGATTAGAAATGTCGCGTAATAAGCTTACACGCGTTAATATTTAAGTGAGTATCGGTATTTTGTGACTGTATTAAATTCCGGTGCCGGCAATTTATAGGGACTCGTGTACGAAATGACATTCCCAGAAGGTGTCCAGCGTTGGCTATTTTCGTGTAGCCACCACATATTCGGCGAACGAAGACGTTACCTGACCACGACGTTTATGAATTTCTGGTACTGAAATCATAACTGTCATCAAAAAAGGCGACAGTCGATTTATTTGTCGTGATGACCGAGAAAAGTTTTTTAAACTTATTTTAGCATACGTTTGACGTCAAACTGGCATTCGTTACATTCGAATTGCACCCTCGACCCGTAATGCAGAGGGTGAAACCCCTCCCCTCGGGCATGCCAATAATTTCGCGGGCACCCGATAATCTATGAGGTTTCTTTGAATTATTTGCCCGCCGATTAAAAAATCCGGTTTCGCCAACGATTTACCAATCGAGTTACAAACTTGATCTCTAACAGTTTTTTGTGACGTTAGTGATTTTTAATAACATCGATGTACATAAGCTGCCGTGAAGTTCACTTTTAGGTTGACCCCAACCGATATTTATTGACCGGCGAGTTGACGTTTAATAGATATTTTATGTGACTTGGCAATGAGAGTCTCGTTTTCCAACGGGTCTGTTAGATGAAATTATTTCTTCTCCGCTTCATACGGTCGTTATTCAAATGTATTTCGTACGCGCGTATCGTTTGTATTTGTAAAACTAGGGGTATTAAATGTGTAGAATGTTGCCCCTCGAGTTTCACGGTACGGAATTGTGCTGACAACAAACGGAAAATACTTTCATAGGATAGTTTTCGAGATCAATTCACTGGAACAATCGAATTTCCCCGCGAGTTTGTTCAACACGAAATTCAGACAATTTACAGTAAATATGAATCGCGCACACGTCAAACAATTCGTTTCCACAACGTTTTGCCGGCACGACTGATACTTAAACGGTAAAAAAAAAAAAACGCAACGAAATTATAATCAAAGAAAGGGTTATGCGTTAGTTATTCGTGCAAAATTACACGTTTTGGGCGCACTCGGTTGCCAAGACCAAGACGACATGACGTTACTGCGATCAAACGCAAATATCGTGCGCGGCAATTCGTAATAGCGTTTTTCGCACTCGGTACAAAGAAAAACAAAAAAACCAAAGAACAATAGTAATGATATATAATCAATGGTAAACAAATTACAAACAACAAGACGAAAAGAACGCCGACAGAGAGTGGCCGACCATCGGCGGCATCCGCAGCCGTCGTGTTTGTTGTTATTAATACTATTATTTGGTTGCATAATGAACGAAAATCAAATTATTATTCCGATTATTCGTTGGGCCAACGACTCCGAGACGATACGTTTTTTTACCAATAATTGTGCGTGTGTGCACGTGTACAATGGGTAGTATCCACCTCTGTCGAGTATGCGGGCGGCAACTAGACATTTGAAAAAACAAAAAACCTTTGTACTATGGTTTTTCCAGTAAAACAACAACAAACTATCGCTGAGAAACACACGTACTTGATTTTTCAGCAATTTTTACAATCCGTTGTATTCGCGAATAACACTTGACAATTCTCTTTAATCTGCGGTCGGACAACAACAACGTCAATCAAAATCTAATTTCATGTCCATAATCTTTGTAGGGGATCGATAGCGATTTCTTTCGAGCAATATGAAATAAATTAGCGCCATTTTTTTGCCACTCGCAAGCCAAATAAATCACATTTACCTTATTCGTACACTTGTAAATTGTCTGTGGATTGGTTTTTAAAAACAATCACACACACACATATAATATGATTTTACGAGTTATGAAACTTTCATCGTTGTCGCATCGAAGCATTTTAAATGTTAGCGTCTTTCTCGAAAATTGTTTTTATTTCCTCACGACTAATCGGATCACACACTTCTTTGTCGTTGGTCGGTTAATATCTCTCCGAGGTCGTTTACTGTGTAGCGGACACCATCGCATACTACTTAGCGGCGTATTTCGATTATTTTTCTCCGAAATCGTTTGACGTTTTTATTTTTTTATCTCTTTTGGTCCCACTTACGGATTACCTGTAAGACGCGAGGGCATTCGTGCAGTGCTCGTTTACAGCTAGTAATTAACGCATTGATTACGTTTTTCTTTTTTCGGACTTTACACGACTGAAATTCAAATGCGTTACCAGAGTACCCGTGGCGTACAAACGGCCGCGTCGTAGCCGACACGCGAGTAAAAAACGCCGCACACAGGTGATTGCGGCCGTCACATTAGTCGGTTTTGGTGGTCTAAAAAAAACAATTATTGCATTTTTATTATCGTTATCGTTACCAGCTATTTGTACTTGTCACTGGACGGAAAACAATTACCGTTGGCACTTGCGGCAGAGTGGCCAGTGTAATTACGCGGGTCGCCCGATTTATTATCGCTCATTTTCATACGACCCGAGGGCCCCCGACATACACACGTGAAAATCCCACCGTAATATAAAATAATAACGTACATAATACAGACGGGAGCTGGGGCCCATCAAGTCCAGATGACAGACGGGAGAAGAGCAACGGGGACGGCGGCGCACCTGAAGAGCGGCGGAGACTCGTGAATGCACACGCACCGACTCAAACCGAATGAACGTGTATTTGATGCGATTCACATCATGTCGGCCGTGCTCGCGCTTAAACTGTCTGTGGCGGCCGTAAACACTTAAGCGGCGGTCGCGTGTGAGTGTGTGCGAGGGGTACCTAATTGCGCTGTGTGATTTTTACGAGGACGTCTAATACGCACAGAGAAAATAATAACAAGAACGGCGGCGCAATGTTCGAGTGACCGCACAAAGGGAACGCGGTGGCCCTGGGGCCACGTGGGAGTGATATTAAATTGAATAGTAATAATTTCACGGCGCGGTGCCAATGAAACATCTCGCACCGCTCCGTACACCTAAAGGGCTTAAATTACAATCTACTGGACACCGAAATTAAACACTCGTTTGAAATCTGAGCCTAAAACACATTTTAAAAACGACCATACGAGTCCGTCTAATAGTAGTTGGCCAAATTGCACACGCAATCACTTTCAGCTTACCTGTATTTCTTACTATTCAAAAGTGACTTTTTTTAGCCAATTACAAGATACTGGCCAACATTAAGTGTAGAAATTAAGTTTTATACTGACGTTTCGAACTCGTTAAAAAGTCAGTACTGTCTCTTTGGGGGCCATCGACCTCCTAACAATGTTAAAAAAAATTTTAATCCGTGTACCTATGTAATAATACACATATTTTTAGCTGATTGCAAGATACTGGCTAACGCGTTTAATGTTTTTACATATATTTAAAAATAAATACAATTGTACAAAATCAAACAAAAAACGGTTTTATTTAATTATTTTTGCACAAATTCGTTCCATACTGAAATAATAATCAAGTGTTTTTATCGAGTTATTCGAGTTACTTGAACATGTCTTTGTGCAGAGTTCACCTTTGGACACATAATTATCGCTCTCAAGATGAACTCTGCGACGAATTTAACACAAAAACACATTGATCTATCTGTAAATATTCTAAAAAAATGAAATAATACTGTTATCATAATTTTAAAATGAAAAAAAATCAGCTTTTATTGTTTTTATATATGCAATTACATCAATATTAAAAGAAAATGTCTATTTATTGTTAAAAGATTCATGATAAATATTATACAGTTACAATAGTAACTGTATTTTTAGTTGGCTCGCTGTCTTTTATATTATTAAATGTCGGCTTTTCATCTACTTCTACGTTCTTAAAATATTTTGAACTCCAGTCATTATTAAAACTGATAAATTCTGAAATTTATAATTAACAAATTAAAATCAAGCCGATCAATTTAAAGTTTAAAAAATATCAATATTGTAGGCACTTGGTAGAGTATAGTGTAGATCATGTAACAATTAAAATCTTGCAGTAATTACAGACATTGTCGTAAAATTGTTAGATTCTGTTTGTGATTAGTTCCTTTTTTACAATAATGTTATAGGCACTGATATGGCAAAGGAAATATAAGTAGTAAATAATATAAGCACCAAAATTTCATAATTTTTACAATTTTTGATGGTCTATTATTACAAGGTGATTGATTTATCAATTAGATTTCTCCTAAAATAATAATTATTATAATTTTTCGAATATATTTTTTGGCTTTGTTCAGTAGTATTTTGTCTATATTTTTAAGTGTTTAAATATTTTTAGGTCTTTCCCTTATCCTTTATAAGGCTACATTCTTATACCAACTTATATATTCGACTAATTTTAGTGTTATATAATGAAAGTTATGTATATTTTTATATACGACTAGAAGGAGAAGCTCTCATTATAAAGTGGAGATGAAGTGCATGTTGTTATTTTTATCATTAAGCATTACTCTGCTGCCCTTAGTCTACCACCAAGATAAAAAAAATGAAAATAACTTCCCCAATACAAGTTCTAAGTCGTTATCACCAATGATATTCAGTGTATAAAATTAAGTTTGTAGATAATTATGTTTTGTATAAAATAAATTATTATAAAATTTGACTTAAATTTATTATTTTACGATTATATTGTATAACCATCTCATTATTGTTTTTTTCAATATAGTAACTGCAGTTCAATCTTCAATACAAATTTTGTAAAAATAAAGCTAAAATATCTAGTTTTTATTTTATTTTTTAAAAAATCAAATAATAAGACGACACCAATTTTGAGACAAATGATTGAATTACAAGCATTTTTATTAAATCAGTGGACATGTAGTCGGTGGGAGGGTGGACATATCTTACTAATGTATATTTATAANTTTAAACTTATTTTAGCATACGTTTGACGTCAAACTGGCATTCGTTACATTCGAATTGCACCCTCGACCCGTAATGGAGAGGGTGAAACCCCTCCCCTCGGGCATGCCAATAATTTCGCGGGCACCCGATAATCTATGAGGTTTCTTTGAATTATTTGCCCGCCGATTAAAAAATCCGGTTTCGCCAACGATTTACCAATCGAGTTACAAACTTGATCTCTAACAGTTTTTTGTGACGTTAGTGATTTTTAATAACATCGATGTACATAAGCTGCCATGGAGTTCACTTTTACGTTGACCCCAACCGATATTTATTGATCGGCGAGTTGACGTTTAATAGATATTTTATGTGACTTGGCAATGAGAGTCTCGTTTTCCAACGGGTCTGTTAGATGAAATTATTTCTTCTCCGCTTCATACGGTCGTTATTCAAATGTATTTCGTACGCGCGTATCGTTTGTATTTGTAAAACTAGGGGTATTAAATGTGTAGAATGTTGCCCCTCGAGTTTCACGGTACGGAATTGTGCTGACAACAAACGGAAAATACTTTCATAGGATAGTTTTCGAGATCAATTCACTGGAACAATCGAATTTCCCCGCGAGTTTGTTCAACACGAAATTCAGACAATTTACAGTAAATATGAATCGCGCACACGTCAAACAATTCGTTTCCACAACGTTTTGCCGGCACGACTGATACTTAAACGGTAAAAAAAAAAAAACGCAACGAAATTATAATCAAAGAAAGGGTTATGCGTTAGTTATTCGTGCAAAATTACACGTTTTGGGCGCACTCGGTTGCCAAGACCAAGACGACATGACGTTACTGCGATCAAACGCAAATATCGTGCGCGGCAATTCGTAATAGCGTTTTTCGCACTCGGTACAAAGAAAAACAAAAAAACCAAAGAACAATAGTAATGATATATAATCAATGGTAAACAAATTACAAACAACAAGACGAAAAGAACGCCGACAGAGAGTGGCCGACCATCGGCGGCATCCGCAGCCGTCGTGTTTGTTGTTATTAATACTATTATTTGGTTGCATAATGAACGAAAATCAAATTATTATTCCGATTATTCGTTGGGCCAACGACTCCGAGACGATACGTTTTTTTACCAATAATTGTGCGTGTGTGCACGTGTACAATGGGTAGTATCCACCTCTGTCGAGTATGCGGGCGGCAACTAGACATTTGAAAAAACAAAAAACCTTTGTACTATGGTTTTTCCAGTAAAACAACAACAAACTATCGCTGAGAAACACACGTACTTGATTTTTCAGCAATTTTTACAATCCGTTGTATTCGCGAATAACACTTGACAATTCTCTTTAATCTGCGGTCGGACAACAACAACGTCAATCAAAATCTAATTTCATGTCCATAATCTTTGTAGGGGATCGATAGCGATTTCTTTCGAGCAATATGAAATAAATTAGCGCCATTTTTTTGCCACTCGCAAGCCAAATAAATCACATTTACCTTATTCGTACACTTGTAAATTGTCTGTGGATTGGTTTTTAAAAACAATCACACACACACATATAATATGATTTTACGAGTTATAAAACTTTCATCGTTGTCGCATCGAAGCATTTTAAATGTTAGCGTCTTTCTCGAAAATTGTTTTTATTTCCTCAACGCTAATCGGATCACACACTTCTTTATCGTTGGTCGGTTAATATCTCTCTGAGGTCGTTTAGTGTGTAGCGGACACCATCGCATACTACTTAGCGGCGTATTTCGATTATTTTTCTCCGAAATCGTTTGACGTTTTTATTTTTTTATCTCTTTTGGTCCCACTTACGGATTACCTGTAAGACGCGAGGGCATTCGTGCAGTGCTCGTTTACAGCTAGTAATTAACGCATTGATTACGTTTTTCTTTTTTCGGACTTTACACGACTGAAATTCAAATGCGTTACCAGAGTACCCGTGGCCGGTCGTAAACGGCCGCGTCGTAGCCGACACGCGAGTAAAAAACGCCGCACACAGGTGATTGCGGCCGTCACATTAGTCGGTTTTGGTGGNGTACAAACGGCCGCGTCGTAGCCGACACGCGAGTAAAAAACGCCGCACACAGGTGATTGCGGCCGTCACATTAGTCGGTTTTGGTGGTCTAAAAAAAACAATTATTGCATTTTTATTATCGTTATCGTTACCAGCTATTTGTACTTGTCACTGGACGGAAAACAATTACCGTTGGCACTTGCGGCAGAGTGGCCAGTGTAATTACGCGGGTCGCCCGATTTATTATCGCTCATTTTCATACGACCCGAGGGCCCCCGACATACACACGTGAAAATCCCACCGTAATATAAAATAATAACGTACATAATACAGACGGGAGCTGGGGCCCATCAAGTCCAGATGACAGACGGGAGAAGAGCAACGGGGACGGCGGCGCACCTGAAGAGCGGCGGAGACTCGTGAATGCACACGCACCGACTCAAACCGAATGAACGTGTATTTGATGCGATTCACATCATGTCGGCCGTGCTCGCGCTTAAACTGTCTGTGGCGGCCGTAAACACTTAAGCGGCGGTCGCGTGTGAGTGTGTGCGAGGGGTACCTAATTGCGCTGTGTGATTTTTACGAGGACGTCTAATACGCACAGAGAAAATAATAACAAGAACGGCGGCGCAATGTTCGAGTGACCGCACAAAGGGAACGCGGTGGCCCTGGGGCCACGTGGGAGTGATATTAAATTGAATAGTAATAATTTCACGGCGCGGTGCCAATGAAACATCTCGCACCGCTCCGTACACCTAAAGGGCTTAAATTACAATCTACTGGACACCGAAATTAAACACTCGTTTGAAATCTGAGCCTAAAACACATTTTAAAAACGACCATACGAGTCCGTCTAATAGTAGTTGGCCAAATTGCACACGCAATCACTTTCAGCTTACCTGTATTTCTTACTATTCAAAAGTGACTTTTTTTAGCCAATTACAAGATACTGGCCAACATTAAGTGTAGAAATTAAGTTTTATACTGACGTTTCGAACTCGTTAAAAAGTCAGTACTGTCTCTTTGGGGGCCATCGACCTCCTAACAATGTTAAAAAAAATTTTAATCCGTGTACCTATGTAATAATACACATATTTTTAGCTGATTGCAAGATACTGGCTAACGCGTTTAATGTTTTTACATATATTTAAAAATAAATACAATTGTACAAAATCAAACAAAAAACGGTTTTATTTAATTATTTTTGCACAAATTCGTTCCATACTGAAATAATAATCAAGTGTTTTTATCGAGTTATTCGAGTTACTTGAACATGTCTTTGTGCAGAGTTCACCTTTGGACACATAATTATCGCTCTCAAGATGAACTCTGCGACGAATTTAACACAAAAACACATTGATCTATCTGTAAATATTCTAAAAAAATGAAATAATACTGTTATCATAATTTTAAAATGAAAAAAAATCAGCTTTTATTGTTTTTATATATGCAATTACATCAATATTAAAAGAAAATGTCTATTTATTGTTAAAAGATTCATGATAAATATTATACAGTTACAATAGTAACTGTATTTTTAGTTGGCTCGCTGTCTTTTATATTATTAAATGTCGGCTTTTCATCTACTTCTACGTTCTTAAAATATTTTGAACTCCAGTCATTATTAAAACTGATAAATTCTGAAATTTATAATTAACAAATTAAAATCAAGCCGATCAATTTAAAGTTTAAAAAATATCAATATTGTAGGCACTTGGTAGAGTATAGTGTAGATCATGTAACAATTAAAATCTTGCAGTAATTACAGACATTGTCGTAAAATTGTTAGATTCTGTTTGTGATTAGTTCCTTTTTTACAATAATGTTATAGGCACTGATATGGCAAAGGAAATATAAGTAGTAAATAATATAAGCACCAAAATTTCATAATTTTTACAATTTTTGATGGTCTATTATTACAAGGTGATTGATTTATCAATTAGATTTCTCCTAAAATAATAATTATTATAATTTTTCGAATATATTTTTTGGCTTTGTTCAGTAGTATTTTGTCTATATTTTTAAGTGTTTAAATATTTTTAGGTCTTTCCCTTATCCTTTATAAGGCTACATTCTTATACCAACTTATATATTCGACTAATTTTAGTGTTATATAATGAAAGTTATGTATATTTTTATATACGAGTAGAAGGAGAAGCTCTCATTATAAAGTGGAGATGAAGTGCATGTTGTTATTTTTATCATTAAGCATTACTCTGCTGCCCTTAGTCTACCACCAAGATAAAAAAAATGAAAATAACTTCCCCAATACAAGTTCTAAGTCGTTATCACCAATGATATTCAGTGTATAAAATTAAGTTTGTAGATAATTATGTTTTGTATAAAATAAATTATTATAAAATTTGACTTAAATTTATTATTTTACGATTATATTGTATAACCATCTCATTATTGTTTTTTTCAATATAGTAACTGCAGTTAATTCTTCAATACAAATTTTGTAAAAATAAAGCTAAAATATCTAGTTTTTATTTTATTTTTTAAAAAATCAAATAATAAGACGACACCAATTTTGAGACAAATGATTGAATTACAAGCATTTTTATTAAATCAGTGGACATGTAGTCGGTGGGAGGGTGGACATATCTTACTAATGTATATTTATAATGCATACTCCACCCCCGTTATATACCCATTCTAATTATAAAAATGCTTAAAACTCAATAATTACTCGTCCTAAAATTTTTATCGACCTATAAATTATTATTACAAGAAAATTGTTCAAAACTAAGTATTTTAACATTTTTTATTTTTTCCTTATTGAAAACATTTAATAATAAATATGGTATTAACGTATACTAAGAATCATTAAATTATTAAAATATAAATTACTAAACAATATGTTAATTGTATCAAAAGTTTGTTTATGTAAGTAAGAAATTAAATAATTGTAAAATATATACCAAGAAATTTAATTGTACCATCTTTNCGCATACTCCACCCCCATTATATACCCACTCTAAGTATAAAAATGCTTAAAACTCAATAATTACTCGTCCTAAAATTTTTATCGACCTATAAATTATTAATACAACAAAATTGTTCAAAACTAGGTATTTTAACATTTTTTATTTTTTCATTATTGAAAACATTTAATAATAAATATGGTTTTAACGTATTCTAAGAATCATTAAATTATTAAAAAATAAATTACAAAACAATATGTAAATTGTATCAAAAGTTTGTTTATGTAAGTAAGAAATTAAATAATTGTAAAATATATACCAAGAAATTTAATTGTACCATCTTTATTTTGATCTTTTTCTTCGAGAAAATCATATAAAATTTTTTTATTGATTTTGGATAGACGTTTGTATTTACTAAGAGCTAATGTTGCCAGATCAAAGACTGTATGATTGATGGTATGAAACACAACGTATTCCATGTTTTGCAGGCCTAAAGTAATAACGCTGCCTGGTACTAACACTGGGTCCTGGGTCTTTGTGAAATCTTTAAATTTAATGAATTTTAATAAGATACAATATACAAATATATACTACTAAACTAGATAGGGAGGTACTTAGAAGTCTTAAGCACTTCCAGAAAACTTACGATTGATCGTAAAAATAATAATCTTATTTATGTCGTTGTTAAAATTATAATTTATAATTTTTTTGAAAAGATAATGTAGTCACAAGTTAAATGACAACTATTGATTCCATTATATTGTTTTTAATAAATTAACAAAATAAAAGGTTTGGTACAGATCGCCTTTAACAGAGCGTCTTGCTTTAATCACCCCCTTGTCCACCCAGCACGGCAAATCGATGACATAATCAATACACCAAGAAAGACTAACATAATATTTTATGGCAAACGTGAACTCCATTAGCAAATAGCAGTTTTGTTGTCTACCATAGACGATCAAGCCTAAAAAATTATCAGGGACTTGTGTGATGTACCATCAAAAAAATTTACAAGGAGAGGTAATGCTCAGAAACCAAATTCGCTCCACACAATTGAAAATGCAGAAATAGAAATTAATTATAAAATAGAGGTGAATCAATTAACTAATAGTACTTTAAAATTAAAATAGTATTATTCCGAGCAAAATTTCTGGGATGCTTGACGACATTCTCAAAGGCAAGCTCATTTCTAGTTTGTTAAATGAACCAATTTTGTGAAGAGGAACACACTGGAACTATGAATGAGGTGTAAGATTTAGCTCTTAAAAAAGTAAACTAGCATGAAGTAGATCGCAATATCAATTCATGACATGTTGAAATGTAAACAAACTATTATTAGAACGCCAGAAATTTCAATTTACATGTGCCAACAATAACTCACGCTAATCGTATTGTTCATAGTTTTAAATAAATCTATAAATATATATACATATATTTTTAATAAAGAGGAAATATTATTTAACATATAATAATCGGTATGACAGCAAATATTCTTTTATCACTTACTATTTTTACTTAGGAAGTAAACTCTAAATATTTTCTTATTGTTCTAATATTAAAACTATTTTTTTTTAAATCGCTGTTTCGGTAGAAACAGTAGATAATAATTTTTCTATAAAAACAAATTAAATTCTTACTATGTATTTTTTTCATGGTTCTTGCTGTATCTAACTGTTCTTCATTACTAATATCTAGAAAATGTAGCATATTCTCTAAACGTCTCACAACATCTCCATTTGTCAATGCATTTATCTAAAAAAAACAATAACACAATTTGAAGACAATATTATTTGTTAAACCACAATTATTAAAAAAAAAATTTTCTTGATTTTAATCAAATCTAAAATTCTATTATAAATAATGATTTTAAAAAAATAATAATTATTATTTTACCACTCGAGTTATTTGAAAGTTTAATACTTACATTTGATGTTATAACAATTAAAAAAAAGAAAAAACAAGTAAATTGTAAAGTTTTTACTGACATTTTTTCTTTGGTGTTTTATAAGTCAATAGATGTAATATTCATTGAAGATTGAAAATTTTATAACGTTTTATACAAATTTAAAACCTATCGTTGTTATAATGTAAATACTTTACAATTTTAGACTTGCAAATAATGTAACATTGTATTATTAATATTTTATCTATGAATCTTGCTGTCAAAGTTGTAAAAACAATAAAAAAAAAAATTACTGAATAAATAGAAAATATCTTATTTCATGACAAATCTTTATTTTTTGCTATATAATAGATGGCTAAATTAATAATTATTGACCATAAATTAAACATTTTTAAATTTAGATCAGTACTAAGTGATGGAGAGTAAATAATACATAAGTGAATAACTACACTTTAGAATCTTTTTTTAATCTATGAAAATTAGAATCCTCCCCGATAATTAATATAATTACTGTAAGAAATGATACGACAAGAACCATATGTCAGTATAATATTTTAAGTATACACGTTAATTTTACGCACAAGTAGTGTTATTTTGACAAATAATATCGATAAATCATACTCATTTCTATGTATGTGAAAATTCGAGAAATTTTTTTTCAGAGTATATTTTTTTCTAAAATATGATTGTTTGTAAAGTACCTCAAATTAAAAAAGAACACCCTTGATCAAATATATATTAAATTATAAATATATTATTGATAAAAAAAATCCTTCATAAAATGAAAAGTTATTTTCCAATAATTATAGTATATTGGCAATGAGGCTGCCAATATAGAGCTGTGGAGTTTGCAGCGTCACTAATACTTCATCTAATGCCGCTCATCTACACATTTTTAAGTGAAAACTTAAATCAATATAGTACACCAGTGCAACTAGAATAACATTTTAAAAAGAGCTAAATTTATTTTCCACACGCCCTAAAAAATATTTTTATAGAATTAAAAAATGATCTTTTAAAATTTTAATTTTGTGTGAGCTTACTAATTCTTCAAACAGGAAGCTAATCCGTCCAAAGTCTACTCTAGTTAAGCTAGTAACGATTTACAAAATATAACTGATAACCACAAATCTATAAATGAATGAGTTGATAATTATAAATTATTAATTAAAAAAAGTACTTAGTTGGACTCCATAAAGTGGTAAGTATCAAAAGCACTAACTCTATTTGTTGTAAATATTTGAACATTTATTCGTCAAGTTTTTAGCAACCACAACACAAGTCGACATCACTATATAGTAAATATTGCTTTAGTGTATGTATTATATAATCTTAGCGTAAAAAATATTTGAAAAACGACTATACGAATGCGAGTCCGCCTATAGTAGTTCGCCAATTAGACATGCAATGACTTTTAGCGTACCTCTATTTTTTACTATTCAAAAGTGACTTTTTTTAGCTGATTACAAGATACTGGCCAACGCATTTAATTACATTAAGTGTAGAAATTAAGTTTTATACTGACGTTTCGAACTCGTAAAAAAGTCAGTAGTGTTTCTTTGGGGGCCATCGTCCCCCTAACAATGTTAAAAAAACTTTAAATCCGTGTACCTATGTAATAATATACATATATATTTTTTTCACATTTTTTTATATGTACATAAATATATGTAGCCATTGCTAAACTGAACATCTTTTTAAATAAAAGAGTATTTCACCTTGTTTTTAACTTAGTTAAAATTTATTTTTACATTGAAGGAATTTTTTTTTAGTTTTTGGAAATGGAGTGCCTTTAAAATCACAATACAATTTTCACCAGTTATTTTCAAAATAATTGATAAGAATATTTTTAGTTCGTCTCCCACAAAGTTTACTTGAACATGTCTCAGTTCAGAGTTCACCTTTGGACATATAATTATCACTCTCAAGATGAACTCTGCAACGAATTTAACACAAAAACACATTGATCTATCTGTAAATATTCTAAAAAAATGAAATGATACTGTTATCATAATTTAAAAATGAAAAAAAATCAACTTTTATTGTTTTTATATATGCAATTACATTAATATTAAAAGAAAATTTCAATTAATTGTTAAAAGTATCATGATAAATATTATACAATTTAAATAAAAAATAAATGTTCAGTTGACTCGTTGTCGTCGTCTTCGTTCGTCGTTGTCGTCGTTGTCGTCGTCGTCGTCGTATGTTATCGTCGTCGTCGTCTTCGTCGTTATGCCGATTAATACGTTGACGTTTAATTTTTTATTATCAAATGTCGGCTTTTCATCTACTTCTACGTTCTTAAAATATTCTGAACTCCAGTCATTATTGAAACTGATAAATTCTGAAATTTATAATAAACAAATTAATATCAAGCCGGTCAATTTAAAGTTTAAAAAATATCAATATTGTAGGCACTTGGTAGAGTATAGTGTAGATCATGTAACAATTAAAATCTTGCAGTAATTACAGACATTGTCGTAAAATTGTTAGATTCTGTTTGTGATTAGTTCCTTTTTTACAATAATGTTATAGGCACTGATATGGCAAAGGAAATATAAGTAGTAAATAATATAAGCACCAAAATTTCATAATTTTTACAATTTTTGATGGTCTATTATTACAAGGTGATTGATTTATCAATTAGATTTCTCCTAAAATAATAATTATTATAATTTGTTGAATATATTTTTTATTTTTATATCCATCCCTGATCCTTTATAAGGCTACATTCTTATACCAACTTATATATTCGACTAATTTAAGTGTTATATAATGAAAGTTATGTATATTTTTATATACGAGTAGAAGGAGAAGCTCTAATTATAAAGTGGAGATGAAGTGCACGTTGTTATTTTTATCATTAAGCATTACTCTGCTGCCCTTAATTGTTACAAAGGGAACAATAGAAACCTAAGTTTAATAAGTTAATCCCTACTTGCTGAACATTCTCTTTACATGTAAATATTAAAAAAAAATTAGTGGGTTATGATAAACAATCATAAAATGTCATCTATTCTGATACAACTAATCGTTTTTCCACATTAAGTAGCCTTGTGAGATTTTTATAAATTGTATCAACGGCTAACGATCATCTAATAATTCGATTTTTAAAGCAAATTATTATAAAATAGTGAGTGAAAATCGATTATTAATACTATAATTGGATCGAAATAAATCGATTATTTCAATTACTGCCGTATTGTAAAAAATATTGTAAACTTATTTTTGAAGAATCATAATTTGATGCTCAGTCCCCCAGCATTTTTTGTAGTACGTCTAAAACTAATATGTAAAATATTTACTCACAAAAAATATATAAAATTAAGTTTGTAGATAACTATGTTTTGTATAAAATAAATTATTATAAAATTTGACTTAAATTTATTATTTTACGACCATATTGTATAACCATCTCATTATTGTTTTTTTCAATATAGTAATTGCAGTTAAATCCAGTGCTCGAATTGGCCAAAAATAAGTAGGGGAGCTCAACTTAACAATTTGAAAACTGCGTCCCTAGTATTTTGAAGACCTTTTTTTTTTTTTTTACTCATTACTTTATTTAGTATTTATTAATAAATCATATTTCATTATCATACTAATATTTAAAAAAAAAAAAAAGAGGTGGTATTGTCCACCGTCCTCCCGTCACAATAAAAAAAAGTAGTTGGGGTGCGCAAAAAAATTTTAAAAAAAGTAGAGGAGCTACATCCCCCTGCACACCCCCCCAATTCGAGCACTGGTTAAATCTTCAATACAAATTTTGTAAAAATAAAGCTAAAATATCTAGTTTTTATTTTATTTTTTATAAAATCAAATAATAAGACGACACCAATTTTGAGACAAATGATTGAATTACAAGCATTTTTATTAAATAAGTGGATATGTAGTCGGTGGGAGGGCGGACATATCTTACTAATGTATATTTATAATGCATACTCCACCCCCATTATATACCCACTCTAATTATAAAAATGTTTTTAACTCAATAATTACTTGTCCTAAAATTTTTATCGACCTATAAATTATTATTACAAGAAAATTGTTCAAAACTAGGTATTTTAACATTTTTTATTTTTTCATTATTGAAAACATTTAATAATAAATATGATTTTAACGTATTCTAAGAATCATTAAATTATTAAAAAATAAATTACAAAACAATATGTAAATTGTATCAAAAGTTTGTTTATGTAAGTAAGAAATTAAATAATTGTAAATTATGTACCATCTAAATCAATTTTATCATCTCCATTTTGATCTTTTGTTTTGAGAAACTCCATAAAAATATTTTTATTTATTTCGGATAGATTTTCGTACTTATCAAGAGCTAATGTTGCCAGACCAGAGACTGTTTTCGTGTTATAATTAAACACCATCCATTCTATCTGTTGCAGGCTTTCTATAGGAATATTTTTTGCTAACAACTTTTGGTCCCGGGATATTATGGTTTCTATAAATTTAATGAATTTAATAAGATACAATATTCTGCAGCATACAACTATATACTACAAAACTAGATAGGGAGATACTTAGAAGTCTTAAGCACTTCCAGAAAACTTACGATTGATCGTAAAAATAATAATCTTATATATGTCGTTGTTAAAATTATAATTTATAATTTTTTTGAAAAGATAATATAGTCACAAGTTAAATGACAACTATTGATTCCATTATTGTTTTTAATAAATTAACAATATAAACTGTTTGGAAACCACATTTGCTCCATGCAAAAGACTATGTGATGAGGAACACACTAGAACTCTGAATGAGGTGCTAGATTTAGCTCTTAAAAAAGTGAACTAGCATGAAGTAGATTGCAATATCAATTCATGACATGTGAGGGAGTAGTCCCCCACGGAACAATGTAAACAAACTATTATTAAAACGCCAGAAATTTCAATTTACATGCGCCTATAATAACTCACGCTAATCGTATTCTTTATAGTTTTAAAAAAATCGATCTTCGAAATCTTCATGAGATACCTCATAAATTTATTATATACATTAAAATAAACATTTTATGAAAATTTGAGGTTTAAAAAAAAATGTTTACAGGTCGCTCAACGCGTTTTAAGGAAATTGACCAAAAATACTCAAAAAAAACATAAAATGTCATTATTTATTCAATTTTTGCCCAAATTTCTTACTTAGTACATCTAAATTATTTGTTGTTTAATGTCGAATAATAATAATTAGAAAAAAAAATTGTAAGTCCAAAATTTATTGCGTAAAGTCCATAAAAAGCTCAAAAATATGGTTAAGTTTTTTTTTAATATTTTAGTAGTTACAATAGGTAATTTATTTGTTTTTGTTAATTTGTTATTTGCGTGCTCTAAATAATAGTAATAAAATATGACTAAAAAAAGGCAGGAATTGTTTTTAATTTTCAATAAAATAAATTTTACATTGTTTATAATTTATATTTATTTTAAAAATTTTTTAAAACTTATTTGTTATTAGTATTTAGGTATAAATTATTTTTTCTTAATAGCTTAAAAGTTGAAAAATTAAATCAGTTTATGTTCACATCATTATTTTATTAGCTTCGATGCGAAGCTGAGAAGGTATTGGTTTTTACTATGATGTGTTCTTTTTTTGTGTCTGTTACCACTTTTTCTCAGCTCTCATTGAACCGATTTCTTTCAATGATACGTCTAAAGATCACAAATCGTATCTAGTCGAAAACATTACTCTCAAAAATTGAAAAAATTTCCCTCGTTTCCCGTAAATGGAGGAAATATCCAAAATAATTACAAATTTAAAAATCGGTAAATTTTGTCATTTTTTTTCTTAAAACTTCCATAACTTTTTCAAATATTAACAAATCAAAATAATATTTTTTTACATTGAAACCTTAGGTAATTTCCTTTTGTTTGTTATCATTTTTTTTGAAAATCTAACACTTATTCTGCTCACAAGGGGGATTTAAAATAGCTAATTTTTTGCAAAAACTAACTTTTTCAACTTAATTTTTGAAAATGTTCCGGAATTACTGCGTTCTTTAAACATATATCAAATTAAAGCTTATTTTATGTACTATAAAATGAAAAAAAAATTGTCCCGACGACCTTTCTTTTATGCGAAAATGGCTACCGTATTCAAAAATATGCTATTTTAATATTAAGGTTAATGTTGTTTTGTAATTATCCATCAATTTCTTAGAATTAAACTCTATCTACACATTTGCATCGAAGCGTTTCTTATGATAGTGATTTTAATCACTGTCAGATTAAATCTATACTGTGCCCAACTATGCAACGTCCCCACTATGCCGCGACCTCACTGTGCTGGATTTTTTATATAGATGCATGATATCGTTACTTTTCATTTGATATATTTTTTTTATAAATCTGACCCTTTACCTCCCCACGGGGGGATTTAAAATGACAACTTTTTCCACTTAAATTTTTATAATGTTCCGGAAAGCATGACACTTTTATATATATCTTAAATTAAAGCTAATATAATGTACTTTTTTATTTTAAAAATTTCGAAATTTATTTTGTCTTCACGGTGATCAACACAATTTTTTTATGAGAAATAATATTTTTTAATAATCTCTTTTTCATTCGACATACTTTATCTTAATCAGGATGTTAATAAGGAAATAGCAGATCATGTAACTTTGGAATAATCCAACAAATTTTTTTAAAAATAAAAACAAATTTTGAACTTGTAAGATTTATAGAATGGGATACTGTCTAAGGAGGAGTGGAGGGAGCCCTCCCACAAGCTTTTTATGGGAAACAAATTATGGAAAATGATACAAGGGCCCAAAATTGTGGGCCCCTCCAATAAACATTTTCTGGCTACGTGCCTGACACGAAGTTATAAATTTAGGATTAAATGAGTATATTTCATAAGTATTACAACAAAACCAAGTTTAATTATGACAATAATCGCGATCACGACGATAAGATACCATAAACGATGTTTTAGCGTTATATTTATATCCAGTAATTTTCTTGTATGGATTTGTACTGATTGTTATATAATCACTATCTTTTTGATGGTATCCGACTAATATTTGTGTTAAAGATATTAGAACCAAATATAGACATAATTTCTAAATTTTGTGAAAATAAATAAAATTTAAGTCATCCACAGGATGACTATAAAGAGTTACTGGAACTTTATTTGCAATTCATCGGAAAAGAGAATGAAAAAATTAAAATCCATCCACCAGGAGCACTTCACAGAGCGACATGGATGGCTAAAATAATGTATTGTTTTAAAATTTATACGTTCTGTTTTCAATTTAAACTGACATCTTCTGAATTAAATAATATTCAGCTGTTTAATATATTTGTTTTAAAAATTTATATTAAGTATTGGTTTGAGAGCTCTTATGCAACAAAAGCTTAAAATAATTATTTAAATTTAATATAAGAGTTGAGAAATTACAGTTATGTAAATAAATCTATAAGTGAAGTTGCTATTAAATTCTTTTCTGGACATTTATGGTATCTAAATGATATACTTGCAGGACTTTCATTTTTTGATGAAGACATATCAATAGAGAACAAAAAAAAAAATGGTTCAAGCATTAATTAAAAAAGGGGAAATAAATTTAAAAAAAAGAATAGAAATTTAAACAGTAAAAGAAAATGAAAGAGTACATCAGTTTATAACAGAAAATACTACAAAATTATTTTCTACGCTTGGCATAAACCAAGAATTTTATAAACGATCAACCAAACACTTGGGCTCAAAATTTGAACACAATCAGGCTAAAAAAAAGTTGAATCCTTATATCTAATAGATGACCCAAAAGAACGCAGAATCGCCTTAATGACGAGTTTTAATAACTGTCAAACAAACGACGAAGAGAAAGGCAATATTTATTATAAGTTTATTTATTATTTATTATAAGACACCGCAATGAATACCCCGATTGTAAAAAATCAACATTGGTGACAAAAAAATTAAAAAAAAATATTATTTTTATAATTATAAATATATATATGTATGTATATATAGTTAATGCCAATTTTAAAAATAAAAAAATGTAAAAAGGAAACTGTAAAATTTGACGATATTTTCATTATTTTGATGTACATCGTGTATTCTAGCGTACGTTCTTATTTAAAAAAAAGGTAGTAGTTTTAAACATTAGTGGAAAAAATTTTTTTCTCTTAAAATACACACAAATATTAATCAAATTAAAAAAAATAAAAATGAAAAAAAAAAATTTTTTGACTTACTTAAATGTTCGTAAAACTTAACCATATTTTTGAGCTTTTTATGGACTTTACGCAATAAATTTTGGACTTACAATTTTTTTTTCTAATTATTATTATTCGACATTAAAAAACAAATAATTTAGATGTACTAAGTAAGAAATTTGAGCAAAAATTGAATAAATAATGACATTTTATGTTTTTTTTGAGTATTTTTGGTCAATTTCCTTAAAACGCGTTGAGAGACCTGTAAACATTTTTTTTTAAACCTCAAATTTTCATAAAATGTTTACTTTAATGTATATAATAAACTTATGAGGTATCTCATGAACATTTCGAAGATTGATTTTATTTGCGCCATATATATATATTATATATACAGGGTGGCCCACCACTCATTGACAACTTAAATAACTTTTTCTTAAATCAAATTTAAAATTCTTTATAAATAATGATGTTAAAAAAAAAAATAATTATTATTTTGCCACTCGAGTTATCTGAAAGTTTAATACTTACATTTGATGTTATAACAATTAAAAACAAGAAAAAACAAGTAAATTGTAAAGTTTTTACTGACATTTTTTCTTTGGTGTTTTATAAGTCAATAGATGTAATATTCATTGAAGATTAAAAATTTTATAACGTTTTATACAAATTCAAAACCTCCCGATGATATAATGTAAATACTATACAATTTTATACTTGCAAATAATGTAACATTGTATTATTAATATATTAATTATGGATCATGCTGTCAAAGTTGTAAGATCAATAATAAAAAAACTACTGTATAAATAGATAAAAATCTGTTTTCATGACAAATCATTATTTTTGGCTGTATAATAATGGCTTGATTTATAATTAATGGCCATAAATTAAACACTTTTTAATTTAGATCAGTATTAAGTGATGGGGAGTGGATAAAAGTTACACTTTAGAATCTTTTTTTAATCTATGAAAATTAGAAACCTCGCCCATAATTAATGGATTCACTGTAATAAATGACAATAACCATATGTCAGTATAATATTTTTAGTATACACGTTAATATTACACACAACTAGTGTAATTTTGACAAATAATATCGATAAATCATACTCATTTATATGTATGTGAAAATTCAGGAAATTTTTTTTCAGAGTATATTTTTTTCTAAAATATAATTGTTTTAAAGTCCCTAAATTTAAAAAAAAACACCCTTGAACCGAAATATATTAAATTATAAATATATTATTAATTGGGAAATCTTTTAATTGAAATTCCTACCAATAGAATGCTTTCGTACTAAAGGAAATATGCTTAAAAAAAAAAAAATTTAAAAATAATTTGAAAAAAATTAGATCATTTTATATTCTTAAAGAAAACACAATGAGGTTACGAAGTTGTGTTAAAATTAAATACTTATAGAATGATTGTTTAATTATGATATCTGCAATATTTATAAAAGTATAAAACATAAAATAATTTTTTCTTTTCAGAAGTTAATATCCTACGTTCTATAATTTCCAGAAAACAATTGACCTGTTCATCATGGATGCAACTAATAAAATATGTTATTTTAAATATGTGTGCTGAAATTTCATTCTATTCATTAGCATTGAATAAAATTTAAAAACAAATACAAAAAAACCCAACACAGGGGGGTCGCAGCACAGTGGTGACGTGGCATAGTTGGACCAAGTATAATGATATCTGACAGTGATTAAAATCACTCTAAAAAAAAACGCTTTGATGCAAATCTTTAGATAGTGTTTAATTTTAAAAAATTGGTGGATTATTCCAAAAGCTACATGATTTGCTATTTTCTTATTAATATCCTAAATGAAAAAAGGAATTATTAAAGAATATAATTTCTCATAAAAAAATTGTGTTGATCCATACACTTTTCAATAAGTTATAGCATTATAAAGTTAAAAATGTAAAAAATAAAATCAAGAATTTTCACACGAAAATAGCATTCGGTAGCCATTTTTACCATGAAGACAAGTCTAAAAGTCAAAAAATTTTTTTTATCAAATTAAAGTATATTACATTAGCTTTAATTTAAGATATATATAAAAGTGTCAGACCTTTCGGAACACTTTCAAAAGTTAATATTTTGTGAAAAAGTTGTCATTTTAAATCCCCCCCTGTGGGCAGGTAAAGAGTTAAATTTATGTAAAAATGTACTAAATGATAGGTAAAGACATCAAGCATCTATAAAAAAAAAGTTATATTGATATGTTCATTTTTGAAAAAGTTATGGCAGTTTTTAGTATAAAAAATTAGCGATTTTTTAATTTGTAATTTTTTTGGAGGTTTTCCCCATTTACGGGGAACGAAGGAAATTTTTTCAACTTTGAGGGTATTGTCTTCGATTAGATACGATTTGTGATCGTTTGACGTATCTATGAAAGAAATCCGTTCGGTGAGAGCTGAGAAAAAGTGGTAACAGACACAAAAAAAAAAACACATCATAGTAATATTAATACCTTCTCAGTTTCGCATTGAAGCTAAGAACATTTTTTTTGCTAATAAAATAATATGTTACCAATACAATAATATTATATTAATAATTATTAACATAATATTCGGTCCGTCTTATTATCATATTTTTAAAATAACCACAAAGGTGTTTCTATTTGTATAAAAAATATATTGTTAATATTTATGTTTATTGTAAGCTACTGATAAAAAAATCCTTCATAAAATGAAAAGATATTTTCATACAATTTTAGTGAATTGGCAATGAGGCTGCCAATATAGTGCTGTGGAGTGTTGCAGGATCACTAGCACTTCATATAGTTGGACTAATGCCGCTCATCTACACATTTTTAAGTGAAAACTTAAATCAATATAGACCACCAGTGCAACTAGAATAACATTTTAAAAAGAGCTAAATTTATTTTCCACACGCCCTGAAAAATATTTTTATAGAATTAAAAAATGATCTTTTATAATTTTAATTTTGGGTGAGGGTACTAATTCTTCAAACAGGAGCTAATCCGTCTAAAGTCTACTCTAGTTACGCTAGTAACGATTTACAAAATATAATTGATAACCACAAAAATAAATAAATAAAAAAAGTACACAATAATATAGAACACTGTCAATATATAACACCGAAAAACTGAAATATATAATTATCAGCCATGAATTGTTTCTACAACTGAAAAGTGTCAACACTTAGTAGGACTCCATAAAGTGGTAGGTATCAAAAGCACTAACACTATTTGTCGTAAATATCTGAAAATTTATTCAAGTTTTTAGCAACCACAACACAAGTCGACCTCCACTAAATTGTAAATATTGCTTTAGTATATGTATTATATAATGGTATATAATTTATAAGATCCCCTGCAAAGTAGGGTGTTATATCACTTTATTTTTATGACTCTATGCTTCGTACATCTAAAGGGTTTAAATAACAATCTACTGAACACCGAAATTAAACATTCGTATGAAATCTGAGCGTAAAACATATTTGGAAAACGACTGAAAAATGAATGCGAGTCCGCCTATAGTAGTTGGCCAAATTAGACACGCAATGACTTTCAGCCTACCTCTATTTTCTACTATTCAAAAGTGACTTTTTTTAACTGATTATAAGATACTGACCAACGCATTTAGTTTCATTAAGTGTAGAAATTTAAAAAAAATCATTAATACCTGTATTGTCAGCGTATGATTTCAACAAAGTAACTTGACTGTAATTTTATTAATAGTTACATTTATGTAACTAAAACTACAAACACTGAACGACGAGTTTTATTTTTTTTTGAAAGTGTGTATTTGAAATTTAACAGTGTACAATAACTATGGTGATAAAATATTTTATCGTCTATTATTATAAACTAAAAACCAGTAATTATAATTCGTCTACTACGAAACGAGTGTATATTACAGATGGAAATATATTGTAGGAAAATAATATTTGTAAGTTTAATTTTGTATCCAATCTTACCCTACATAAAGATTTAAACATTGAACCAGTCGATATTTTAGTTAAATTATACTACAAAAAGTTTCATTCCAAATTACTTCTACATCCAAATCCATTAATTGCTAACCAACATACAGTTACAATTCCGGACAACCCTCCTCGCCGTCTAAAAAGACGCTGGTGCCGTGACCTTTTAAATTAATATTGTGATGGCTAAATAACCAATTCAAGTCGAAAGGGTCCCATCACTGGATAGCTTCCCTTTTCCCGTTTTTAAGTCAAATGTGTTATATTCTATTGTTCACCTATTTGCTTATTGTATCTTTTTTATGTACAGATTGTAAATTTTATTATTTTATAAATAAAAAAAAAAAAAAAGTTTAATTTATAAACGTAAAAAACTTTTATTGTTTTTACGTATATTTAAAAATAAATACAAATATACAAAATTAAACAAAAAACGGTTTTATTTAATTATTTTTGCACAAATTCGTTCTATACTGAAATCAATTATAAATTTAAAGAAAATGAATTGGTATGAATGCTATTAAAATATATCTTTACTAAATAAATATGGGTTAATTTTTATTTATTTTAACTAACTGGTAACAAGTAATTAATTATAATTTTTTGAGGTTTAACTTAATTAATTCCAAAAAAGTTTTAATAAATTGATTTATATAAAAAGATTTTTACAATGAAATAAATAAGACTTTCATGGATTGTTATGTAATTTAGAGTATTTACAGATATATACATGTGTTCAGTTTTATGCTGTCGTTTCTAACTCGTTGCAAAGTCAATAATGTCCCTATGGGGGCCATTTAGTTGACATGAAAATGTCTTTTTGCAGAGTTTATATATGGACCTATAATTATCGCTCTCAAGTTGAACTCTGCAACGAATTCAATGTCAACACAAAGAGAAATTTATATAACTGTAAATATTCTAACAAAATGAAATATTACTGTTATCATAATTTCCTAATAAAAATAAATTCAGCTTTTATTGTTTTTATATATGTAATTACATCAATTTTAAAAGAAAATTTCAGACTCTAGATATTGCTAAATGTATCATGATAAATATTATACAAATAAATAAAAATTTAATTTTAATTGACTCGCAGTACTACTTAATATTTTTAAATTTCGGGCTTTCGTCTATTTTATAGTCCTTAAAATATTTTGAACTCCAGTCATTATTGAAACTGATAAATTCTGAAATTTATAATTAACAAATTAAAATCAAGCCGGTCAATATAAAGTTTAAAAAATATCAATATAGTTAGCACTTGGTATAGTATAGCGTAGATCATGAAAAAATTAAAATCGTGCAGTAATTACAAATATTGTCGTAAAATTGCTTGAGTCTGCTTGTGATTAGTTCCTTTTTTACAATAATGTTATATGTACTCATTTGGTAAAGAATAGGAAGAAGTGCAGGTTATGTTACTTTTATTATTAGGAATAGTATTGCGGTGCCGATATTTAAAGGTAAAGGAGACATACAGGAGTCGAGAAATTATAGAGGCATAGTATGAAAGTTTGAGAAAAGGTAATAGATAAGAAAATAAGAAATGAGATATCGGTATCCAAAAACTAGTTTGGATTTGTGTCTGGTAAGTCAACAATGGAGCCATTATTTTGTGTGGGCTAACTAATAAAAAAGTTTAGGGAAAAGAAGAAAAAACTGTTTACGGTATTTATATGTTTGGAGAAAGCGTATGATAAAGTACCGAGAGAGGTTTTAAAGTTGGCATGAATGAGAAAAGGAGTCCCAAAATGTACATTAATATAATAGAGGATATGTATAATGGCACTTATACCAGGGTAAAAAGTGTAGGTTAAGTAACAGAAGGTTTTGGGGTAAAAGTAGTAATGCACCAAGATTTTGCTTTAAGCCCTTACTTATTTTCTATAGTGATAGATGAAATTACTAGAGAAATACAAGGAGAGGTGCCGTGGTGCATGTTGTTCGCTGACGATATAGTGTTAATAGGAAAAAATTGGGAGGAAATTAATCAAAGGCTAGAGTTGTGGAGATCAGCTCTTGAAGAAAAGGGTTTACGAATAAGTAGGAGTAAGATAGAGTATATAGAGTATTAGTTTGACAGAGGAGAATACGAGATAGGCGGAATGGCAATATCAGTGACAGTAGACGAAGACGTGATTGGAGTGGTTGAGAGTTTTAAGTATTTAGGGTCAGTTGTACAAAAGAGTGGTGGTATTGACAAGGATATAAGACAAAAAATTAAGTGCGGGTGGTTGAAGTGGAGAGAAGCGTCTGACGTCTATGCGATAAAAGAATTCCAATGAGGCTGAAAGATAAATTCTACAAGACTGTAGTGAGGCCAGCTATGATGGATCAGAGTGTTGGGCGGTTGATAAGAAAATAGAGCAGAGATTGATTGTAGCAGAGATAAGAATGCTTAGATGGAAGTGTGGAGTGACTAGAGAAGACAGGATAAGGAACGAGCATATATGAGGGAGTGTAGGTGTAGCGTCAATCGTAGATAAGATGAGAGAAAATAGGCTTAAATGGTTTGGTCATGTTATGAGGAGAGAAAATCGAAAGCTGTAAGAACAATTATAGAAATGAATGTTGAAGAAAGAAGAGGTAGAAAAAGACCAAAAATGAGTTGGAGGGATGTTATTGAATGTGAAATGAGGATGTCTGATGTGAGCGTAGATAATGTGGGAGATCGTGTCAAGTGGAAGTTTAGGATAAGGGTGGCCGAACTCAAGTAGTTAGGATTAAGGCGACGAAACAGAAGAAAGAATTAAATTATTAAAAAAGAAAAAGACAATATGTTAATTGTATAAAAAGTTATACAAGGTATGTATTAGATCTGTTCTACCTTGATGTCTATGTATACATTTTTTTTTAAGGTTTAGAAAAATATTAATTGTTTATGTAAATAAAAATTAAATAACTGTAAAGTATATACCATTTAAATCAATTATACCATCGTTATTTACATCTTTTTTTTTGAGAAAATTACAAAAAATTGTTTTATTATCTTTGGATAGATGTGTGTAATTATTAAGAGCAAACTTTGTCAGTTTATTGACTGTGTTCCTCGGAGCACAAAATGTATAGACACCTTCTTCAGAAGCTTTCAGGCCTTTAATAATATACTCGTCTACCAATTCTGATTTCAGGAAATCTGCTGAGTCTATAAATTTAATGAATTTTAATAAGATATTACAGTCTGCAGTATACAACTATATATTACAAAACTAGAGAAGGACGTATTTAGAAGACATAAGCACTTCCAAAAACCTTATAATGTAACCCTAGGATTGAACTTAAAAATAATAATCTTATTTATGTCGTTGTTAAAATTATAATTTATAATTTTGTTTTTTTTTTTGAAAAGAAAATATTACAGTCACAAGTTAAATGACAACTATTGATTCCATTATTTTTTTTAATAAATTAACAAAATAATCATTATAATAGCTATCATAGTTATAATTTCATTTGCTAAATCTTTTGATTTGCAATGATTTATCAAATGTTGACCATTTTGTATAATTATCAACTTGGGATCTGTGATACATTATACTGTATAAAATATTATTTACCAGCCGTATGATATAGTTCCTATGTATTACTTACCATGTGATTAATCTGATTATAAGACAATATTTTCGAACAATTCCAACCCAACCCGTTCAAACGGTGAGAATGTATATTGGATCCATTCTAGAGTTTTATATCAATGGCGAGTAGACAATATACCAAGAAAGACTTAAACAATATTATATGGCAATCATGAACTCAATATCAAATGGCAGTTTTGTTGACTACCATAGAAAATCAAGCCTAAAAAATGATCAGGGACTTGTGTAATATACCATCAAAAAAATTTACAAGGAGTTAGTGGTAATGCTCAGAAACCAAATTAGCTCCATGCAGTTCAGTATGCAGAAATAGAAATTAATGTTATAAGTTAACGCAAAATAGTGGTGAATCAATTAATGAATAGTTCTTTAAAATTAAAATAGTATTATTCCGAGCAAAATTTCTGGGATGCTTGACAACATTCTCAATGATAAGCCTATTTCTGGTGTGTTAAATGAACCAATTTTGTGAAGACTGTGTGAAGAGGAACACGCTAGAACTATGAATGAGTGGCTAGATTTAATTCTTAAAAAGTAAACTAGCATGAAGCAGATTGCAATCTTTGCAAATGTATATAAAAAAAAATCAAGGAGTCAAGGCGTCCATTAACGTCAATTAAAAAATAGAACCAATATCAATAGCTAAACATTATTTTTGTGTATGGTAAAAATAATCATAATTATAATAACTGTAAATATAAAACCTATAAATATAAGATAGCAATAGTATATAAAAGAAAAATGGCAGAGAGCAAATCTGAATTTACTAAATATAATGCTTATTTAGAAGCAAAACACTGCAATGATATTGATATTTTAATAGAAATGTTTAATATTTCTCTTAAAAGTACGGTAAAACGTATTTTAATTGACATAAAAATGAATGGGATATTAGTTAAAATGGATCTGGACTTCAGCACTGAAACATTTATACTACCAAAAAGTATGTTATTAAAAAAATTATTTAATTGAACTAACTAAAGTAACACTCAAAATGTTATATCGCTTTATTATTAAACCGGTAACAGAAATTTATGTTAATATTGAAATTAATAATATGTAACTATGGCTAAATTAATTATAGTTAAAAGTGAATATAAATCTACATTAGGTAGTGATCTAATGAATTTATTTAAGATGACAGTAATAAATATTAATAAAGTTGAAAAAGTTGATAATTGAGTATATGTCAGTTTTTCCAAAAATAAATAAAATATCTTGGTCATATCGTAGTTGCAAATGGTATATAAAAAGATAGAATAAAATCAGTAGTAGAAGTATCAAAATCTAAAACTATCAGTGAAGTTAGAGCATTTGTAAAAATAGGAAATTTTTATCATAAATTTTTAAATCAATCAACTAATATTTTAGAACTATTATGCAATTTATTTAATAAAGGAGTTGAATTTTTTGGTTTTAAAAATGAAACATGGCTTTCAATAAGTGTAAGGAAGCAATTGTACCTAATGATTTATTAGTACATACGACATGGCTTTACTATTAAAGTATGTTTTTACATTTCACAGACAGGTATAGGTACAATACAGATAGATAAAAATGGTCCATTTTTACCTATCTACCAAACAAATGTATTATAACTATATTACTATTTAAAAATTTGCATTTTTAATAAAAATGTAGAATTAGGAATATAAAATTGATTTTTTTCTTTTAATTAATTTTAGTAGGGGATGCGATCGTCCTGTCGTCCAAGCCACGAGCCGCCATTTTAAATAGACATAAAAATCGAAGCAACTATAAACATATTGTATGAAAGGCAAAGAATAAAGGTTTGAAGTTGGACAAACTTTTTATTCAAAAGATTATAGAAATGTTAATAATCCTGTATGAATAAAATTAAAAATATTTAAGGTTAGATGAAAGAATATACTTAATAAAAATTAAATGTGGTGCAACACAGTAGAGACATTTAAACTGGTGATGGGCATTTTCGAATATTTTAAAACTGTCGATTTATAATTGTTTTTACACAACCGAATAGTTTATTTTTAGCATAAACTATCAAATATTTAAAAAACTATCTAATAGTGTGAATAACTATTCGAATATATTGGGTAACTATCGAATATTTTTACTATTTAAATAATTTTTGAATGACTATCGAAAATTTTTTATATTAATGTATGTATTATTTTAAAGTGGTTGGGTATTAACTATTAATCTGTATATTTCTATTCTGTTATTTTTAAGTGTGTATTTTGTATAAGTGAATTGTATATGTATAAAAAACTTTATTTCTAATAATAATAATCTTGTGATTATGTGAACATAACTGTAAAACATATGGTACTGTAGTTAATGAATTAGTTGTTATAAATTTGGGTTATTTTAGTGGAAGAGTATTGTAATATATTGTACTGAGGGGAACATTATAACAAATACTATTAACCTAAATGTATGACATAATTCTTAAATATTACTTACCATGTGTTAATCTATGACTAGAGAAATATGTTAATAATTAAATAATGTAATTGTATATTATTTATAAAATGAAATAAACTACAAGATCAGTAGCTCAAAAAATTAAACTATTACAATTATTTACCTTTCTAAAAATAAAAAAAAATATAGCCGTTATGCCATATATTTTTATTAATTCAATAACACTTGTATAGTGTAAAAATCAAAAATATATTTTAAAATAATTAATTATAAGAAAAGAAATATTTAACTCGCATATGACTAATATCAATTCACGGTCTGTGAGCGAGTAGTTCTCACAGAACAATGTAGATGATCTCTTATTAGAACGCCAAAAATTTCAATTTAGATGCGCCTATAATAACTCACACTGGTCGTATTGTTCATAGTTTTAAATAAATCTATAAATAAATATTTTTTATTATTCGGCATGGCAACAGATTATCAGGTACTATTACTTAGGAAGTAAATTATAAACAATTTCCTATTGTTTTAATTCTTAAACTGTTTTTTTTAATCGCTGTTATTATTTTTCTATTTTTTCAAAAACAAAAAAATAATAATTATTCTGGCAAAACAAATTAAAATCTTACCATGAATATATTTCATATTTTTTGCCAATTGATATTGTGTATCATCACTAAAATCTATAAAATGTAGCATATTCTCTAAGCGATTCACAACTTCCTGCCATGATAATGCATTTATCTAAAAAAATAAAAACAATTTAAAGACAATATTATTTGTTAAACCACAATAATTAAAATCAATATGTTTTTGATTTTAATCAAATCTAAATTTCTATTATACATAATGATGTTAATAAAAAAATAATTATTATTTTGCCACTAGAGTTGTTTGAAAGTGTATGTTTAATACTTACATTTGATGTTATAACAAGTAAAAAAAAGAAAAAAGAAGTACATTGTAAAGTTTTTACTGTCATTTTTACTTTGGTGTTTCAAAATAGATTTCAGAATAGATTTAATATTCTTTTGAAGATTAAAAATTTTATAACGTTTTATACAAATTCAAAACCTACCGATGATATAATGTAAATACTATACAATTTTATACTTGCAAATAATGTAACATTGTATTATTAATATATTAATTATGGATCATGCTGTCAAAGTTGTAAATCTATAAAAAAAAAACTACTGAATAAATAGATAAAAATCTGTTTTCATGACAAATCATTATTTTTGGCTGTATAATAATGGGTTGATTAACAATTAATGGCCATATATTAAAAATTTTTTAATTTAGATCAGTACTAAGTGATTGGGCCACTCTCCGTCATTTCTCATTCCTTTGAGAAATTGTACTTATTTATATCACTATTTATCCAAATTTTCCCTCACATTATATGCGTTAAAAACTTCTACTGCATGTATGTGAAAATTCGGAAATTTTTTTCTCTAAAATATGATTGATTACAAAGTCACTAAATTAAAAAAAAACACTCTTGTTCAAAAATTTATGAAATTATAAATATGTGATTGATCGGGAAATCTTTTAATTAAAAGTCCTACCAATAGATTGTTTTCGTACTAAAGGAAATTTGCTTGCAAAAAGAATAATTTAAAAATAATTTGAAAAAAATTAAATTATATTATATTTTTAACTAAAACACAATGAGGTTACGAAGTTGGGGGTGCTAAAATTACATTCTATACATAAGCATCGAATAAAATTTGAAAACAAATACAAAAAACATTTTTTTTTACTAATAAACCATTATATTAGCATAATATTCAGTCTGTCTTATTATCATATTTTTAAAATAACCACAAAGGCGTTTCTATTTGTATAAAAAAATACATTTTTTATTATTTGATTATTAACAGCTACTGATAGAAAAAAATCCTTTATAAAATGAAAAGATATTTTCATACAATTTTAGTGAATTGGCAATGAGGCTGCCAATATAGAGCTGTGGAGTGTTGCAGGATCACTAGCACTTCATATAGTTGGACTAATGCCGCTCATCTACACATTTTTAAGTGAAAACTTAAATCAATATAGACCACCAGTGCAACTAGAATAACATTTTAAAAAGAGCTAAATTTATTTTCCACACGCCCTGAAAAATATTTTTATAGAATTAAAAAATGATCTTTTATAATTTTAATTTTGGGTGAGGGTACTAATTCTTCAAACAGGAGCTAATCCGTCTAAAGTCTACTCTAGTTACGCTAGTAACGATTTACAAAATATAATTGATAACCACAAAAATAAATAAATAAAAAAAGTACACAATAATATAGAACACTGTCAATATATGACACCGAAAAACTGAAATATATAATTATTAGCCATGAATTGTTTCTACAACTGAAAAGTGTCAACACTTAGTAGGACTCCATAAAGTGGTAAGTATCAAAAGCACTAACACTATTTGTTGTAAATATCTGAAAATTTATTCGTCAAGTTTTTAGCAACCACAACACAAGTCGACCTCCACTAAATTGTAAATATTGCTTTAGTATATGTATTATATAATGGTATATAATTTATAAGATCCCCTGCAAAGTAGGGTGTTATATCACTTAGTTTTTATGACTCTATGCCATAACACAATGTTTGCATTATGCTGGATGGTCACGGGACGTTGATTCTTTTCTCGAAAATCCACTAAAAGCGAAAATACCACAAACTCTTCTAATATGTGACTGTTATACGTCTAACAAATTGCGACCTACCGTCGATTATAGTAAAGAAAAGTCCATTAGCTTCACTTGCCCCTTTTTTTCCCATTATCAATGTATATTTGTTATAAATGTATGTTATTACTTGGATTTCGAAATGAACTTATATAGGCTGTTATTTAAACTAATATTCTTAAGATTATAAACAATTGACTTTTACTTACAGTGCACCGAAAAATGTCACTGCCTTTTTAAATTAAACATAAACATAAGAACGTTTAAATTATTTGTATCCTATTAATTCCCTGCAATGTCACACTATATTTGTGAATTACATCCAGAAAGTGTAGACGCACTAATTATAGCGTTAATAAGTTTGTTTTCTATGCTTGAAATTGTGCATTTTAATTAAAACATTGCTATACTATAATTTGGAAGGTAATTAAGTGGTCAACACGGCTAAAATAAAGAAAAATAAAAACATTGTGCGAGTTAAAAATGTACATACGTAGAGATTATGATTTTAGATAACATCAAACGGGCCGTGTGTGTTAGACCGGTTAGTATGTACTCAGAAGAGCGTCATTATGTTTAATTAATTAATTTTGAATTATAATTCGTTTTAGCACTAAAAAATAAACACAATTATTTCCAGTAAAACTATAATACTACCGTTTGTGTCGTTAAACAAACGTAGTCTTCGGATTAAACTTAAATACCACAATGACTTGACCGTAGTTTTTGTATGAATAAAAATCATTTACTTTTATCATTGCTGTATTTACACACAAAAAATATAATCAAATACAAATTCAGTAAAATAATGTGCGGATAACACTATTCTACTTTTCGCACATCCGCATAAAATGTATAAATTTAATGGCAACAACTATAATTAATCCATGGCGATTCAATTAAATGTACATCCGAAGATCAAGACGTTAAAGCGTGTAATTGCATTACGGTACTGATCATAATAATAATCCGCTCAAGTCAGAGTAATAATCCGTTTGGGACTCGGTTGAAACGCTAGTAAAATACATTTTTAATGCGTGCGGGTTTCGAATTCCAAATAAGCGACTGAATTCAATTACGTTATCACGTCTTTAGGCGCTCTAAACATGTCATTACACGGCAACCCGAATGATAATCGAAATCGAGTCGGCCGCTTGTTTGTTGAGCTCATGACGTTTTCTCGCATTTAATTACATTATTCGATTAACTTTACGCCACGCGCAAATATGCATAGCAATTCCTAACCGAACCTACTGAATAATAAACTAGCGACGGTGATAAATTTCACGGTCAGGACGAGTGTAACTTACTCGAAGAAAACGTTGGTATGGTTTGGGTTGGACATTTGAGGGAATAAACATTAAACGTTTGACGGCTACACAAAACCGCTATTGCCGTTCGTCGAACAGCCGACAGCTACCCTGAAAAAATTGTGGAAACACAATAAACACGGTCTCTGTGTTGCCCCCAACACAACAGTCGTACAACAATTATTATTACAATTGAGCGTTCTCGTTTTCTGTACGCGTTCAAATTCGTTTATTGTTTATATTTATATGGGACCCGAAGCCGTACATAATCGGTGCCCTAACACGTTGCCGAAACGAAAAACGTATTAGATAATAATAAAACGTCCTGGAACCAAAACAAATCGAAATGGAATGAAAGAAAACAGTCACACGGCACAGCGTTTTTTCACTGTTGTTTCGATCGCGTGTAATCACAGTTGTAATACACACAGCCAACAAAGGCCTTTTACAATAATAATGATAATAATAAATACGATTCGATTTACACACGGTAGCTGCTCCGGCGAGTCTCATCCGTATCCCCTTGCGCCGCCGCCGCACGTATGCAACAACGTCATACACTCTTTGGGCAAAACGATGCGTGTGGACGCCGGACGACGGCATGGGGCGGGGAGCGGTGGCGAACGGCAATAGTGTCCAGCAGATGGGTGTCGCTGTGCTGTACACGTGTAATAACCAACACGGCGTACATAATAAACATGACGATTCCCCCGGCGTGCCCCTCTCGCAAGCGCGTACACCGCGTTGGTGCCGCAACACCGTGTGCCCCGACTTGTGTTATTGCTATGTCATTGTCATATTTATGTGCGCCGAGGATGGGACCGGAGATAAACGCGTTGGTCACGGGTCCGGTGTACCGCGCCATGTACATTTACGTGTGCAAGAACAAAAGCCGTGCGCGGCCGTGTTGTCATTGGCTGATTCGACACGACACATAGTTCAATATTTACAATGTCTCTCCTCAGGTATTTTACCGCCGCCAATCTTTTCTCTCGGTCTTTCTCATTCGGACCTCGTCTCACCATACGTCGGCCTCCGTCTGCGACTATAAAGTCTACGGTTAAGAAACCGTCCCAAGGTCTCACCGGCCAAAATGTATTACTTGTGCATGCCCAAGCCAAGTACAATAAACTTATCGGTTACCCGTCCCCCTCGTATTCTATGCGGTTTCCGATTCCGTACTGCCACCCCCCCCCCCCCCCCTCCAAACTATCGCAATCGTCGATTTGTCGTACCCGCAGCATCACTAGGCGTATACAAATAGAATATGTGCAATTTGTAACAGTCGATCACAAAAAAAAAAAAACAAATTCAATTTATCTAGTTTGTGTACTAAATAAATGAAAGTATAAAATAATAAAAAAAATTTTAAGCTATTTTTCAATAATTTCATAGACTAGTTTAATGGTTTTCACCAGAACGAAACGGATTAAAGTGGCGAGTGAATCATTTAAACAATGCGCGATTACTCAACCTACACTAGTCAAAAATAAACAGCGAGAACAACAAAAAAAATCTTCTCAAACTCGAAAACAATATTTCCATTAACTGAATTTTCCGCGTACCATACGTAACATTGAATTAACCAAGAAAAACTGTCAGAACCTAAATAAATACAATTATACCGTTTCAATGTCACATAGAGATGATATTGTACACAATAATTAAACGGTATTTGGTACTTATGGAAATCCATTATATCTAATACCGGTATTTATCACCGAAATTGATAAAATATCGGTTTTGATTAGATATTTAAATAACTTATAATGTATATGATTTTAACGTCAGTATTCAATAATGGAATATTTTTTATTAATAATGAGTATTATAATCTTTATTTTACATATGGTAGAATACCAATAATGCACAATAATCATTTATTATAATTCATGAGCGCTAAATGGTTCATTTAATTTTTGTAAACTATGATACATATGGGACAATTGACTTACTATTTTTACTATTATGTGTTAACGTGTAAGTTTTGTATAAATGTATGAAGATATTACTATTATTAAGTTTTAGGTTCTTGGAATTTAATATCATTATTTTTAGGATTTCGATTACGCA